GGAAGAGCCCATTGGCAGTATCTTGGTTTTCTTGGGGCTGCAGACACATCACAGGCACTGGGGCTATTCCCCTGCGGCAGTGAGCCCTGGGATGTGAGGTTCATGTTCTTTCTTTAGTATTCCCCCAGTGTCTTTAGGACAAAATCATACCAACTCATTTGCCAAAAAGCAGCCACCATCAATACCCTTCAGAGGGTCCTGTCTCGGTGCATTTTACCCCTGTTGGCTCCCTGGGGCAGGGTGCCCCACGCCTCCCCAGTCTGCACAACCTGATGTGCCCTAAAGTGGGAATCAGAAGGAGTTGAAAGCTGGGCCCAGGTGCCTCCCAAGCAGCCACAGAGACCACGTTCTGCTACTCATTGTCTGCCTTAAATTTTGCTCAGTCCCCAAAGAAGATACCCCCCCCACACCCAAAGGACAGAAAGGTGAAAACGAAAGGACTGGACAGAGTGATCACATCACACAGACACCTGGAGCGGCTAACGTGTGAACAGAGCCTCAGTCTTCAGGTGTAGGCCCTGCAGAAAGTGACAGCACAAAAGTGCAATGGCCTCTCTCCTGGTTCCCACCTGGGACAAGCACCCAGGTGCTGATATTTCAGCACAGCAAGAGAAGAGCATTCTAGTGTAGAAGAGGAAAATTGAATTTATTAAGAACGCAATAAAATGTGCTGTGTTATAATCTCAAACCATGTCCTGGAAAATGATCCAGACTGACAATGTTTTATGGACTTAATTACTATTTGTTTCTTCATTCAATGTGCTCATTTAATGATTTTTTTCCTCTAGCAGAACATGTCTGCAGTGCTATAAATGGCCATCATGTAACCCTTAGTAGGTCCTACGTGCACCTTAGAGAGTTTCCAGCCCCTGAGGCTCCTGGAGGGCTGGGAGCAACAAACAAGGAGTGGACTTTGGTTTGGGCATCAACCAGTGGATGACCATGCCCTAAAAGTTAACCCAGAAGCCACCAGAGTAAGACCCCACCCTTAGGGAGAATCATGTACATGGGCACAGACAGAGCCTGGGGATCTCCATTCTGAGGTCCAAAGCCTTTCCCCAGGGGACGTTCACTGTCATTCTTGCCCTCAAAGAAATCAAATGTCACATGTATATTCACAAATAAAATAACATTTAAATAATCTTTTAAAAATCTTACTTCTCAA